CTCTTAATTCTTTTTTGATATGTGCATCTATTGCTATAAATTGCTCTCTGGTCACTGCTTTTGCTATATTGCAAAGATTTTGGTATGTTGTATTTTAATTCTCGTTTGATTCAAGGAATTTTTTAATCTCATTTTTTATTCTTCTCTTACGCAGTCATTTTGAGGAGGGGTTGTTCAGTTTCCATGTATTTGCTCTTTTTCCATTGATTTTCCTGTTGTTGATTTTTAATTTTATAGCACTGTGATCTGAGAAAATGCTTGGCTGTATTTTGATGTTTTTAAATTTATTGAGGCTTGCTTTGTGGCCTAACATATGGTCTATCCTGGAGAATGTTCCATGTGTACTGGAAAAGAATGTGTACATTGTGCTGCTGTTGTTGAAGTGCTCTGTAGAGTTTTTAAGTTCAAGTTGGTGGATTGTATTGTTTAGTTCTTCTGTGCCTTCTTTGAGTTTTTTTCTAGCTGTTCTATCCTTCATTGAAAGTGGGGTATTAAAGCCTCCTACTGTTACTGTAAAGGAGCTCTGATGGTTCAGTGCCTAAGGCATTTGACTGCTAACCAGAAGGTTGGCAGTTCACAGCCACCAGCCACTCTGTGGAAGGAAGATGAGGCAATCTACTTCCGTAAAGATTTACTGCCTTGGAAACCTAACGGGGGTCACCTTGAGTCGGAATTGACTCGATGGCAGTAGGTTTGGGGTTTTTTGCTTTGACTGTTACTGTGGAGTTATCTATTTGTCTTTTCAATTCTGTCAAAATTTTATTTATGTAGTTGGGTCTCTTTCATTGGGTGTGTAGATATTTATTACAGTTATGTCCTCTTGCTCAGTTAACCCCTTAATCATTACATAATGTCTTTCCTGTCTCTTATAGTGGTTTTTGTCTTAAAGTCTATTTTAATATTGCCATTCCTGCTCTTTTTTGATTGCTGTTTGCTTGATACATGTTTTTCCAACCTTTGATTTTTCAGTCTATATTTGTCTTTGTGTCTAAGGTGAGTCACTTGTAGGCAGCATATTGATGGGTCATGTTTTCATATACAGTCTGCAGCTCCCTGTCTCTTGAGTGGTGCATTTAATCCATTGACATTCAGTGTAATTATCAACAAGTATGAATTTATTGCTGGCATTTTGATGTTTTTTGGTTTGTGTGTGTGTGGTGTTGCTGATTTCTTTGTTCCCTATAACTTTCTGTGCTGAGCTCGTTTTGTTTATGTATATATACATATATATATATGCCAAAT